GGGGGGGTACTCATAGTCGTGCATGCCGTAGTGGTTAGACCATTGACCTCGCAGGGGGGGGGGGAGTCGTGTTCACTGCTTTCATCCATGAATCATGGTTCTCGATGCATAGATGGTTTTCGAAGCATGCTGCACCTGGTGGGTGGTAGGGACAAGAGGAGGTATACAAATGTCACAACGCCACGCACGGCTGTAGTTTTTCGGGCCATGGCGTATCGGCATATCCAGTGCGCCGAGAACCTAAGCTCGAAAAATCTCCATCTTAATATTCGGGGCGCTCTTTGCAAGAAAGCGAGGAAAGCGAATCGATGGAGGGAGTTCAACCAAGCGCCTTTGGGTGAGAAACACACGGGCACCTCCCACCAGGGGCATCTACGAGCTGGCACCTATCTCAAAACACGTTCTTTCAATGTTGGGATGCAACACAACTACCGTGCTCTCTCGACCTCCGGCGGGCTTTCCTATGGTTACCACTTGCTGATGGATAAGTTCGACCAACCATGGTCATCATACGGTATGGATATGTAGCCGACGCCGGTCGCAAGACCAACGAAGAAGGCATGCACCACTGCAACGGGCCCAAAATACCTTGTGTGCGACCCTAGCTCTTACCACAGCGGGGCTAGGAGGAAGACAAGGCTGACGTGAGGAAGAAGTACGATGAGCAAAAATATTTAAAATGAGTGGGGAAAAACATGGAGTAAGTAAAGAATAGGGCAAAAAAAAAACACCATCTATTCACTGTACCTTTGTCTGCGTCTCTTGGTCTCCGCTGACCCCGAGGTACAGCAGCCTGTCGAACCTCCCGGGCCGCATGAGAGAAGGGTCCAGCAGGTCCGGCCGGTTGGTCGCCCCTATGACAAACACCGTGTCGCCACCCACGGTGTCGCCACCGCTGCCGCCGTCACCATCATAGCTCTCGTCTTGTCGTTGCCGTTGGTGCCGGTGGACCTTGCTCTCGTCGTCGTCCCCTTCGGAATCAGTTCCGCCACCGCCGCCGCCGCCGCCGCCGCCGCCGCTACCGCCTGAGGAGGAGGATGCTGATGCCGCGCCGTCGAGCTCGGCCAGTAGCTGTGCAACAACCCTGCGATGTGGTGTTAGTTGCGTTGGGGGGAGGGCAGAAGGAGTGGGAAGGGGGGTCAACAAATACGGTTGTGATAAACCAGCTCTCGCGTCTGATTACACGAAGCCTGGTGGACAATGTCTGTCGGGGGGTTCGCCATCCAGGCGGTGGGGGTGGCGGACAAACCAAGTCTTGCCACACGCGGGGAAAGACTGAACGACGAAAAACAACAGTTTTGAGGGGCGCGCAAGTAGAGACGAGGAAGCAAAACAGAGCATCGAGGATAAAGTGACATTGAAACATGTCTCCAACTGCCATTGAAACCAAACATCTGGAAAAAAACGAACACGGCGTTCCGAAAACATGCTGCTGAAATATCTTAGTTCTGCACCCTCTTTGCCCCCTGCACACAATACACGGGATACCCTCTCCTATCTCCTACAAACGCACACAACCCCAGTCCTTGGCCTCCCTGCCCCAAATCATGCCGACACCACGGTTGATAGATGTGCATCCAACTATTCTATTTGTTGCGTTCAGCAGCACCTGTCCGTAACGCCTATACATGTATTGTTTGTGTTCGGCAGCACCTGTCCATAGCCCCTACTTTCGTTGTTGTTTCCAGCGGCACCTGTCCACAACCGCTACATCCACTGTTTGTGTTCAGCGGCACCTGTCCATGACGCCTACATTCATTGCTTGTGTCCAGCGACACCTGTCCCTAGCGCGTTCACTCGTTTTTCGTGTTCAGCAGCACCTGCCCATGTCCCCTACTTTTATGGTTTGTGTTCAGCAGAGCCTGTCCGTAACGCCCACATTCATGGTGTTCAGCAGTACCTGTCCCAAAGCCTACATTCATTGTTTTCTGTCCAGCAGTACCTGTCCATTACGCCTCCAGAGTCTCCTCCTCGGCCTCTCGCCGGCGCGAGGGAATCGAGCTCATCGAAGAACAGGACACACGGCGCGGCGAGTCGGGCCTGCGCGAACACCTCACGCACGTTGCGCTCGGATTCTCCCACATACATGTCCAGGAGCTGTGAAAAGGGTAGGACGCAGAGCAAACAAAAGGTACAAGGGGGGAGGGAGGCGTCTCACAGGTACCGTGTGGCAAGGAGCTCCGCGGCTTGAAGGCATGTACAGAACGTGACGATTGTCTTGTGACCTGTGATCGTTTTTGTAGTGGCGCTATTGCTACAGTTCTCTCTCTGTCTCTGTCTGTCTGTCTGTCTGTCTGTCTGTCTGTCTGTCTGTCTGACTGACTGACTGACTGACTGACTGACTGACTAACTGACTGACTGTCAATCCGCCTGTCTCTCTGTCTCTCCGTCTCTCTCTTTCTCTCTGTCTTCGATCTATACCGCAAGGGTGGGTGGGTCTGTCGCCATTGAAACACTCGTCTTTACCTAGGGGGATCAGGGTTGGTTCTCTGGTTGTAGATGAAACCGAAAACAAAGGATTAGGTTGGTGGAGAAACGACGTTGTTCACCGTTCGTGTCTCTCAACGTGGATTTGTATCACTATTTCTAGCGTTGTTACCCGTCTACGGTATAGCTGCACCAACTCAGCATTCAACAGCAACAACAGTCACGACAGGGCATCCCTGTGAACCCATCCGAAACTATTTTCATTTTCTCTTTGCGATAGTTTACCTCTGGACCTTTGACGCTGAAGAAGGGCAGCCCGCACTCCGTGGCAACGGCCTTGGCCAGCAGCGTCTTCCCTATGGGGCCACAAACAACACCAACACGAACGCCATAAGTAGCAGCACTAAAAGAGCAATGAGACGAACAGCAGGAGCTGTGGTAGCAGCGTAGCAGCACGTAGCCGCGCGCATGGGCAACAACCAAAACTCAAAGAGAGCAAACACTGCTTACGTGAAAAAGACCTAGGACATTTCTGGGGTCATAAGGTGGCATATAGGGCGTGGCGGGAGTAAAAACAACACCTGCCATTTACATGCGGCCAGTTCCGACTACTAATCGAACGAAACCTTGCCCCAACTCGATTCTCGTCCAACGTCTAGCTAGATAATCCCTCTCTCTCTCCCTTCCTCCCTCCCTCCCTCCCTCCCTCTCTCTCCCGCTCACTTTATCTATCTCTGTCTATTATCTATCTCCCTCCAACGAAAAGGCCTCCGCGCAGCATCGAAAACCTCCTAGACTCTCACCCGTGCCGGGGGGTCCGTAGAGCAATATCCCCGCCCTCCGCTTGACGCCCTTGCCGAACACCTCGGGGTGCTTGAGGGGCAGCTCGATCACGTCGAGAATCTCGCGCTTCACGGACCCCAGACCCCCGATATCATCCCACTTCACCTGAAAGCGAAAGAGGAGAAAATTCAACGATGTGTTGACACAGCCTGTATGGCAGATATTCTTGTACAACGCTTGCCCCTGGGATGAAAGCAACCACACGGAGCAAAACCGATGCCTCCTTGAGCGTTTAACTTAAAAATGACAAGGATGACACCCCAGGAGAAACGTTAGGTTGCCCGCACGCATTCGCGGCGTCAAGCATGGCGGTGTAACAACCACCGTCCACTCGGGTCCCCTCCCCTTTGACCGAGATACCACGCCAACAGTTCACGGCTCGTGACAGGCAAGGACAGAAAACCACCTCCCCTCCCTCACAAATCTCTCTGCCGGAATGCCGCGTGCCAAACATGGCATCGGAAGCTAAGAGCGCCCAAATGTTGCCGGTGGCCTCTCCGCCATCCATAGCGCCTCGCTTCGAGCCGGAGAGATTGCGGCCAATACCCAAACCTAAGCAAAAAAAAAGGCGAAACACCGCCTTCTCCCCGCTACCCCACCGACCAATCGGCGTTCCCCCCAAACTCCCTTCCGACCATACAACCATCTCCTGCGCCCACGCGCGCGCGCACCTGTGGGATCTTCGGACACCCCATCTTCATGCTGCTACTCGGGGGCGGGAGCCGCTTCTCTCCTTTCTCGAGGTCCGCCAGCGTCAACACCAACTTGCCGCGGCCACCCTCACCGCCGACAGAGTCTCCGCTTCTTTCCGCTCCGCCAGCGGCTGCTGCTCCGCTGACGACCGACGACCGGCCCCTTCCATTGCGTTGTGCCTTGGCCGCCTCGGACTCGGCCATGGCGAGCCAGTCCACGTCGGGGCCGCCGAATGACCGGGCTAAGGCTTCGCCGCCCGCGTTGGCCACGAGGGTTTGAATCTGATGTTTCGTGATACATGCATACCGCATGATAATGCCAAAGAGTTAAGCAGTGGGGGGGGCGTGAGGAACAACAATCGGTTTGGGCAGGGTCGTAAGCACACGTCGGCGATAAGATTCAACTGCTGCTGAACGCCTCCTCACAACGCGGCGACTTCCGAAAGGCCCATTCTGCTGTCGAGCTGTGGCCCAAGAACAGCCAACGGTATTCCCCAGCCGCGAACTACATGCGTCCCGCCTCTAAACGCGAAACGGTGATTGATTCAGGGCGCTCCCCCCCGCGCACGGTTACTCCCTCTCCCACCTCCGTGACGGAGCGGCCCAGTAGGCGCCTGGCCAGCCCCTTCAACGCCTCCCTGGTGATGCACTCCGCCGTAGTCACGCCTCCCAAGTGGTGCTCCAATAGAGACAGTCGGAGCTTTTCAGGGGGAAAAGGGGCCAGCACCTATGCATTCATACACGACAACAATAAAAAAAGCGGCGAATGTGGCGCTGCTTCCGTGGGAGATGGGGCCGTTGGCGTTCAATCAACGACTCAATTTTGTTTTCGGGCTACCAAGTCGAAAGTCGACGATTCAAAATTGTTTATTGGGCTACGTATTGAAAACCTGCAGTGGTGGCAAGTATATTCTGCTCCAGGTCCAAAATCTACACCAGCTGAGTGGCGTAACTGTTGGCCACAAGTCGGATTTGTCACAACGCTTGGTTGGGGTCGGCAAGGAAATTAACAACAGTCTCGTAGGGACGTGGCGGAGAAGGCAAGCAGAAGGATAGCATTCCACACAATGACGAATACGGCGATGGTGGTGGCGGGAGGGCGAGTGCGAATGGCGGTATCCTCAGAAGCACTTCGCCGCGAACGTGTTTCACTTTCGTGCCGCTGTTTCGGTCTATTTGTCATATCTCTCGCCGCAATGACACAAGCCGACACAGCGAGTCAGAAGGGAAGAAGGCGTCTCTCCACATATTGGTGCTCGCGAGCTGACAAGAGGGGGAAAGTTGACCGAGTTGCGGCACAATGTGAGCTGCATGTCTCGCTCACCAAAACGTCGGCGTGTGATACTAGCAAAATTTGCGATCCTAAGGCCACGATGAACAGACAACAAACTGAGCAACTTTACGAGTGAAACTTCCTCCCAGCAAAAACCATTCTTGGTAGTCTTCCCAGTCTCCACAACCGATCGATTTTAATTTTTGGTAGCAATCTCAAACCCAAAGCTTTGTCTCCACTTAAGGTGGCACCGATTAGTTTTGTCTAGAGGCGATGCAGAGAATGTCCCCCTCCATATGCCCTCCCCCCCGCCCCCCACTATCCTTCAGTATCGACGGTCCCACGGGCTCCGTAGCAAGAAAGGATTAACCAGCACGCTATGAAATAAACCATATCGACATTAGCAAACACGACACATCAAAATTAATCAAGCCCATTGCTGCACATTGGTGTGCTACGGGACCAAACTTGTAATTGTTGAAGGGACATGATCACTTTCGCGTCAGGCATCGCAACCAATCTCATGTATGAAGTAAGCACTGCTGGTTCAAATGATACCAGGGCCAGTCAGTGCAGGGTATGTTAAGTGGACAACGGTGAACGACGACCTTTTTCGAAGTACTTTGGCAGGGCTGATCAAGCTCACAGCAGCAACACCTACCCACCTCATGCGTGAAGCACCGCCGAAGCGACGCAGGTACTCTCTCGAGCGACTCTGCGCTCCCCACCAGCACCACCGTCCCCGCCGCCACAGACGATGAAGACGGGAGTGATCGACCTCTCTCTTGCACACGGCCGGACCCCCGCCCTTCTCCCGGCATCGTAGCAGCAGCAGCAGCCGCCGCGCTATCAATCTCTTCCAAGCACGCGGAGAGCGACTCCACGAACCGCTCGTCCGCTTCCTCCCCGCCGGGGTCCTGCCTTGCCCCGGCTATTTTTGTAACGGCAAGCCAGAGGTCGAAGAAATAGAAAAAAGTTGTAAGTGAGAAAGGGCAAAAGTAGTTGCGTTGTCTATGCAGCTCCGGACATTTTCGTAGCGGCAAGCCAGGGTTCGAAGATGGAACGGCGCAAGGGAGAGGGGGCGACAACAGTTGCGTTGCCTAGCTCCACATATTTGTTGTATGACAAAACGGTCTCAGATAAGAGAGGGCTGAATTAGTCGCGGTGCCTAACTTCGGATATTTTGGTAGCGGCAAGTCAGTGCTGAATGAGATAGAATGCTTTCAGACACAAGAGGGCTACTTTGTTGCGGTGCCTATTTTAGCTATGGTTTCGTAACGGCAAGCCAGGGTTCGAAGGAATCGCATGGGTGCAGCTGAAAGAGGGCCACAGTAATTGCGGTGCCTGGTTCCGGAAATGTTGTAACGGCAAGCCAGGATTCGAAGAAAAACCATGGTTTTCAGATGAGAGAGGGCTAGAATAGCTGCAGTGCCCAGTTTCGGATATTGTTGGTATTCGCAAGCCAGGGTTCAAAGAAACAGAAAGAGTTGCATTGAGAGGGCGCTACGTAGTTGCGGTACGCGATTTGTAGGCGGCAACTTGGTGCAGGTGGTTTTAGTCGTGATTGGCACGTCACCGCACTAGTCCTAATACCTTTGTCATCGGTGAAATGAAAACAAAAACGCATTGGTGCGACTGATCGCACCCCC